TATTTAGCATTTTTTATAGCATAATTTTTAAAGTTTAATCTAAAATGTTTTCTTTATAGCAAATATAAAAATTTTGTAGAAAAAAAGTTTTTACAAAATGTAGAGAAAAAGTTTCTACAAAGTTTTACAGTTGTTTAAAAAAAGTGTTTTTTAACAACTGTACAACTGGAATTCACCTACCTAAGTCCTAGGCCACCTCAGATAAAGAAGTTTTTTTTGTTTTTGTTTAATACATGTCATCAGTTTATAATTGTTTGTAAATGTCCCTAATGATTGTATATATAGTGTTATTGTTAAATTTGTAAATATAGTAATTTGATTGATTTGATTATATTTAGTTGATATATTTTTAAACCATGAGTCTAATCAACACGCTCGCCACTGTATTGGAATTATCTGTTCTCCCTGATGATATTCAACATGCTTTATTTGGTAAGGTTTTCTCTCTTTTAGTATGTATTTTAGTATATGTATCCCAAAAGATATTCACTTTCTCTTTAAAAACACAGACCTAAAATAACGATTTACCCAAATATATGTCTGAAACTTTTTCTTTCACATCAATGCACATATATAGAACTACTTATTTATTATATTGTTTTATTTTAGAATCTGATCATTATAATAATAAAAGTAATAATGTTGAAGTGTATATTTTGTATAGTATGTAAATGCTAAAATGAAATAATATGAAATTATGTTAGTTGCATATTTCCATTAATTTTATCAGAATCTGCCAGTTGATTATATTATATCAGAGCAGAGGCAGCAGCATGGACCTATTTGTGGTCAACAATTGACACAAAAGTATAAGTCAGGAGAGCGGATTGAAAAAGCAGAAATGTTATTTCTAACAAAAGTTTGTGGGCATTACCTGATGAACAATTGTGCTCAGTAAGTATAAATAAAATAAAAAATTTGATAGGATTTTAATTAGTTAAAATAATTTTTATATTTCTATATTTCAGAAAAGATGTTACTGAGAAGCAGGACTTATCAAAGTCAATTATTGACTGTTTTCCTATCTTACATGATGAAACAGCAAGTGGCTACGTGAGTAATATATTTAATCAATTAAGTTAGTTAATTGATTAAATTTTAAACTCTGAGTGTTATTATTCTTTTGTTATCTTTAGGGATACTTCTTTGATATAAAATCATGTAAGTGGAAAGTTGGAATACTTTGTTCGAAGCCGGCGTTCAGATTGTAAAGATAAAACTACATTGTTGAAACATTCACCATCAAATAGGTAAATATTAGATCTAAAATGTCCTTCATTTAATAAATGATGATAATGATCATGATGATGATAAGCAATTATTATAATTGTTAGCACTTTTTTTAAATTTCAATAAGTTTTTTTATCCCTCACCTTTTATCAGTAGTCTTGCTACTAACAGAATAGGTCTCACTACTAGCGATGATGTTGAAAGTGCTGTTCGATTACTACGCGAACAAAGACCTAATGCCCAAAACAAAGAAGAGCTAAATTAATTAATGGAGATTACAAGAAATCATCGGCGATCATGGATCAACACATCATTCTCATCAATCACAGAAATTGTAAACCAGTACCCGTGGTTGCTAGACATGTTAGAATCAGTATACTTATATTTATTTATTAAAACATATAGCTTGCTCCCAATACTATTTTTGATGAAATTTGCATTGCTGTAAATTTCGTAAAAATTTGAATTTTTTTTGTGACTTAAAAGCTTCTTCAGTCTAAATATAAATATATATATATATTTATATTAGATTCTTAAAGAATTCCAAAGTTGCAATTTTATAGAAACATGATTGTATGTTGAGTGGCATACTCTAATGTTTTCCTTAATGAAAGAGTTAGATGAAGGTAAATTATGAACTTTTAACAGTCCAATTAAAAATTGTAGTTTATTGTTATTAAATTATAAAGTGCTCAACTATCTTAGTTTTTACTCTTTTCAACACTATTTAATGTAATGTATTATTCTACCTGAATAATAATTATAAAAATTTTTTTGCGATTTTTATTCATTTGCAAAAGTTATGTAACTGTTTAAGGATACAAATATACATATTAAGTTATATATCTGTTTAATGTATCTGTTACATATCTTATAAGTTATATATCTGTTTAAGTATACATATTAGGTTATATATCTGTTTAATTATATAAGTTATAAATCTGTTTAATATCAGTTCAAATTTTTTTTCTTTTATATTGTTAGACAAGAAAAGTGAACTTGCGGTTGAATGTCTTGTTTGGCTTCTCCCTACCTTACCACAAAAATCAGTTAAAAGGGCTCGTTTGCTACCGAATGCAGTTATGCAAAATCTTTTCTTTAACTTAAGGTATTTTTGTTGTTTTTTTGAAATTTTTGAACTAATATTTTTGTAGAAGTTTTTATATTTATTTTTTTATATATTTTTATCATTGTTATTGTTATTGCTACTCTATCTGATAGAAAAAATTGATAATGTAAAAAAATGTTTATACATTATGCAGGATGACACAGTTGACTGGGCACTAAAGACACTGGAGGATCGGGGGGTTAGACAACCGATGCTGTTGAGCATATCTGATGGATATTATATAAAGGTTGACAACACAGTTATAACACTGTCTTGTTGCAGCTGTTTTATGGAGGCATTGGAGTTTTTATTTATGTCTTTTTATGTTTTCACCGTGGAATATCCGACCGAATTAAGATTTTTTTATAGCTTTTTAGAGAAAGTTATGGGACTTAAATGAACTGTGAAAAGTTCAACTGTTGCTGACTTGTTCACAAACAACTTTTCTTACAAATGTATAAATCTCTTTAAATCCCCGATGGGTTTAAATATGCTTTATTCTTTTTTTTTTAATTTTTAAGATGTCTTTTATTTGTATATTAGTATTATTTATAAAGGGATTTTTTAGTTAGAGATAACTATTAAAATTTATTTCCAATATTTTTTTAATTTACTAATTATAATTGTTTCTTTTTTCATCTGCATCTATTAACTGCTTCAGTTTACTTGACAGTAATTAGATCTTATGATTTTAAAATGTTAACTAATAAAATTTACGGCCACTTTTAAATTTAATAATAAAAAAACTAAATTTTAATTACTATTTAAACTTTAGTAAAGAGATTTTAATATTGAAAATTCTTCAAAATATTTAATGAAACTTCTCAAATCCAATGAATTTCTTTGAATGAAATGAAAACTGTTAACAATAATGCGTAAAAAAAACCACAATAATGTGTAAAAAAACCTGCAATAATGCATAAAAAAAAGATTTTTAAAAAAATTTACAGTAATCAACTGCTGCTTCCTTAACGAAATGCAAATTATTTGCAATAACACGTAAAAATCATAGTTTTCAATAATGTGTAAAAATAAAAAGAAAATAAAGTCACAATAACGCATTAAAAAAAAAAATTATGTTATGCAAACCCATAAGCAATTTAATAGCCATTCTCTTATAAAATAAAATTGATTCCACACTATTGTGGAAGAAAAAAAAGTCCACAACTGTGTAAAATAAGTCCACATTTGTGTGTAGGAGTAAAGCCTACACACTGATGTGGAGGAAAGTGCGAAAAGAAACTCCACACTTTCTGCGAGAGTGTAGTTGTTTTTTGTAAATTTATAATTTTCTTTGATTTTGCAAAACCTTTTAACCTAGTTAATCACATTATTCTCATGCATAAACTTGAGATTAACATACCGCATTGGTTATCATCCTGGATTGTAAAATGATATTCAAACCAAAAACAAGAAGTTATATTTAACAACAAGTTTACTCTGGAGTGATACAACGAAGTGTGAAATCTGGAATAAAACAAAGAAGTGTCAAGTATTACCCACAAGAAATATGCAGATGATATCTGAGCTTGTATAATTGGTAAAAATTCTTTCCTTCCACAAGATGTAGCAGACCGTATTCAATAATGGCCCTTTGATAATAAAATCTTTCTTAACACAGCCAAATGAAAAGTTATTTATATTGGCCGAGGCACAAAGCCTGTCATAAAATTAAAGAACAAAGTTCTTCAACTCATACAAATACCTCAGCATCAACCTTAACTCAAATCTAAATGTTGAAAATTTTAATAATAAAACTACCCCTTATAAACATCTTTTTGAGCAACTCTGAATATTTGCAGGATGGTTTAAACCTATGCTTATATCTGTTTACTGTGCCTATTGCATCAGCCATTTTACCTACAATGCAGTTGTTCTCACCTCCTTAACCAATAAAAAACTAATTCCAAGATGCAAGTTTTTCAAAACTGTCTCCTAAAAGCTACTAATATTGATCCTCATGATGCAACCAATTATGGTATCCTTCCAAAGAGGAACATCTTGATGCTGCATGCATCAGTACACATAAACAAATACTTGGCATTCCAAACCATCTAATCACATTTAGTCTACACTAGAACAATTACTCACATTTCATTTTCAAATTCAACCCTAGAATATTTAAACACATACCTAAAAAAATTTATCAGACACGCAATGACGCTATAAAATCTGATGCTATTTTTACTCTATATTTATCTATATATACTCTATACATCACCTGAAAACACTCAAAACCTTCTGGATACACCCCATCAAAATAATATACTATTACTTTTTGTAAACTTAAATTTATATTTATTTCAATAAAATATTTAAAAGATATATACACCCACATTAAATTTCAGCTTTCACTTTGTAACTAGTAATTACTTCTGCAGTGAATATCACTTAGTCCAGATTATACAGTGCAGTGTTTGGCATATAGAACATGTTTTAACATCAAACCAAAAGTTATTATTTTTGACTCTTAGCCCACATTTTATTGATTTTACTATTACTATTTCCATTATTGTTAATAATTGTTTCATTGTATAATTTATATTAACACTTGTACTAGTTAGAAATGTTCTTGATATTTTTCAACTTTTATCAAAATATTAAAATTTAAATAAGTAAAATTTAAATAGTAAAATTTAAAATAAAAACATAAAAAAAAAACCGGATTTGATTTATTTCCTTTTTCATTGTTCTTTGGTTGACCAACACGTAAGTGAGGTGGTATGCAACACCAAAATATACTTTTAAAATAGTATTTTATTTGATCAATTATTGATTTATCTCCAACCTGACTTTGAGATTTAACTTCTCTTGTCCCTTTGTTTAAAAATATATTCAAATATATTTATTATGTTCTTTGTTTAAAAATATATTCAAATATACTTATTATGTTCTTTGTTTAAAAATATATTCAAATATACTTATTATGTTCTTTGTTTAAAAATATATTCAAATATACTTATTATGTACTTTGTTTAAAAATATATTCAAATATACTTATTATGTTCTTTGTTAAAAAATATATTCAAATATTCTTATTATATCCTTTGTTAAAAAATATATTCAAATATACTTATTATATCCTTTGTCTAAAAATATATTCAAATATACTTAATATATTCTTTGTCTAAAAATATATTCAAATATTTTTATTATATTCTTTTCAGTATTTGAAAAAATAAACACTAAAAAACTTACCCCAACTTCTGTCTGTAAGATTACACACTGAGTATATAGTAAGAAGCAAATAACCTGATGGTAAACATAACAAGTACCAGACTCCATGGAAAACATATGGAGCCTCTGAACCATGTAATATTGCAGTTAAAATAAATATTGCTGATATAGTAAACATATACCATGTTGATGGATTAAAAATGTATGGATTTCGTAAAATGTATGGATTTTGTGTTGTATTTGTTGGAGGAGCAGTAACATTTGTTATTTGGGTAGGTGGTGGAGGAGATGGGGTAGGTGGAGTAATGTACAATGCAACATCATCAACTATCTGAACAATAATATAATACAATTAGTGTTAAAAAACATAATTTTTTTACTTTAATAAACAAATATGAAAAAATCATTAAACATTACAAAGATTGAATACTTTATTCTTTAAAAAGACTTTATAAGAACATTTATATAACATTTATGCATAATAAAATCCTTTCAATTTTATTAAGATAAATAGATGAGTTACATACATGAAGATAAACTAATTATAAAGTAGGTAAGGTAAATATAAAATAGATAAGTTAAATATAAATTTGATAAGCTAAATAAAAAGCAGATAAAATAAATATAAAGTTGATAAGCTAAATATAAAGTATAAAGTTAGATGATATATATGTGCTGTACATGTGCTGTAAGAATATTAGTGGTAAATTAAAATAGTGGTAAATTAAATAAATATAAAAGAGATAAGTTAAATATAAAGTAGATAAGTTAAATATAAAACAGATAAGCTAAATATAAAGAAGATAAGTTAAATAAAAAGTAGATAAGCTAATCATAAAGTAGATAAGCTAATTATAATGTAGATATAAAATTATAAAGTTAATTATATTTAAGTAATAGTTATAGAAAAAATTCAGATTAAATAAAATATTAAAAATATAAATAATATTAAAAAACAAGAAACTAAAGAATTCCACATAAGTAAAGATACAGTATAGATTACACAGTTCATTTTAAACTTAAGATATCATAAAGTTAAACTTGGTAATACTAGGTATTAGGTATTACTAGATATATAGTATTTATAACTAATCAAATAAAATAAAAATAAAATCTATTAAATCAAAATTCTCTAACCTGACGAATAATTCCAACAATTGCAATAGACATGATTATTGCAAACATAAGTGTTAAAAGTTTCGAACACTTTAATTGAGTGTCTTGACTGCAATATAAGCAAACTAATGTATATAATACTGTTACAACTATTAACAGTATCAATACAACTACCATGTTGACAGTGTACGGATATGCATACTCAAGTCCACCAGCAACAACCATGAGAACTGTGGAAGGCCTAAAGTGAAATATGTTTTGAAAAAATTACATAAACTAAAGCAACTAACGAGAATAATTAGAATTTGCTTAAAAATTTGTTATTTTAATATAAGTCTATTTATTTATACAGAAAAGATAAAAATATAGCTGCAAAAGATTTTTATTAGAAAATGTTTAAAAAAAAATGAGTTCAAAAAGCAAGTAACAATTCAAATTATTTTTAGTAACTTGAATTTTTTTTTTCTTCTTCTCACTTATTTTTTTTATACAGAAAAAAACAAAAACCTACCCAATAACACTTGAAATTAGTAAAACTCCTTGGTAGGCAATAAAAAATAAATTAATAGCATTGTTATTTTCACGTAGTCTTTTCTGCTCATTAATAACAACCAAAGAATTTGCAAGTGTTGATGGACCCCATCTACGTCTTTGTTTAAAAAATTCATCAAAGTTATCTGGACAATAAGTTGAATTTTCAGCAGTAGCACAATATTCCAACTTCCAGCCTGCTTCTATCATTAATGTACAGAACCAACGATCCTCACCTATGATCAAATTGTTAAGTGTTTTTTATATTGTAATAAAACCAGTTAACTGTTATAAAAAATGCAATAAAAAAGATAATTTGTACAATTATTATTAAACCACTGCTATTATTACAATTTACATTTTTTTATTGCTATTTTTACAATGTCATTGTTATTATTGTAACATTCAATTCAACAACACATTATTTTGGAATTGCTATTGCTTTGAGCAATTTTTATAACATTTTAAAAGCCTTTAAAATCCATTCTACTAAATGTATTTAAGTATAAGTCAAGAGTAATCAGATAAAAACTTTTATAGTTTTTTTTTTTAATAAATCATCAAAAAGAAAACTATATAAAATTATTAACAATAAATTATGAATTATTAATACCTATAAAACAAGCCTATAGTTTCAGCCTATGAAACAAGCCTATAGTTTCAGCCTATAAAACAAGCCTATAGTTTCAGCCTATGAAACAAGCCTATAGTTTCAGCCTATGAAACAAGCCTATAATTTCAGCCTATAAAACAAGCCTATAGTTTCAGCCTATGAAACCTTAATTTGATGCTTATAAAACCAAACTATAGGTGTAGGCTTCAACTTTATCACCTTGTTGAACAATTGATGCTTTTTTACTCTTTTTTATGTCTTTTTTTTTTTACCAAATGGTTTCCTCATAAATATAGTTAAGTGTTAAGAAATTGAATCTAAACATTTTTATTATTTATGAGTAAATTGAATTTATACAAGACATTTTTTCTGTACCTCTTGAAAATTGATACCATTATCTACCATTATCTACCATTACTGCTGCATTAGCTATACATTAATGCTGTATTAAATAATATCAATGAAAATTATTTTATAAATGTTAAAAAAAAAGAGATGAATAATAAAACTTTATAACTTAAAAGTTGATTATAACTTGTTATAGCTCTTGTGACTTAATAGTTAAAAGTCATTGATGTACTTTAACAAAAAAAAATAACAGTCACAATGTTACAACTTTCACATTATAAAACTTTTTTGATTTTTAGAAACCCTCTTCCCCCTTCATCAAAAAAAAAATAAAATAACTTAATAGCTAATCTTTTGTATTGCTTGATAAATAAAGTTTATTTTTAACAAATAATTTTTTTTTTTACAATTCTTTATTTTTATAATCTTTTCTTTCACTTAACATGAACTCTTCCTCAATTTTCTTTGTCGTCCAAGGGACACATAAAAATTTCTTTTATATAGAAATTTGCTTCTAAACTGTTTCCGGGTTTGTTTTTTATTAAAAATTCTTTATTTATAGAAAAATGTTTCTTTGCTTAAAATCGACTAATATTGCTAAGTGGGTTTGTATCTTTTTTTAATACTTAAAACATAATTTTGTCAAGTATTAACATAAAAATATATTACATATGTGGGAGGACGAGAGTGGCAGGGCAAATGAAATATTTGTACGGTATTTGCATGTTATTTTACTTTTATATAAAAAAAATTTTATCCTTTAAAAAAATATATTCCGCTCCTTTAATTCAGGAGGCTTAATAAGCGTGAACTGGCATATTATACATTTGCTACTAAATTGCTTGTCGGTTAGTTTATAATAGTAATAATTATTATTTAACAAACTTTTTTATTTTTAAAATAGGCTAATATTGCTTGTGGGTTTGTAATTTTTTTTTAATTTACTTTGTTCTCTTTTTAAAATTATTTTTTATATTTTTAAAATCGGCTAAGATTGCTTGTGGCTTTATATTTCTTTTTAAATCTTTTTTTTAATACTTTTTTTTGAAAAATGTTTTTTTTTAATAAAATTAAAAAAGTAACTTACTAAGTTATGTTAAGTTTGTTTAATATTATTATAAAAATATAATACATCTGTGGGAGGAAGCGGGTTGCAATGCAAATGAAATATTTGTACTTTATGTTATTTTACTTTTATATAAAAAAAATTTATTTTTTAAAAGAAAAATATTCCGCTCCTTTAATCAGCTAATACTCCGTTTCTTTAGGATTAAAAACTCAACTTAATTACACATGTCTAGATAAATGCATTGCTAAATATTGCAACTCTTTGTAAAGACTAAAAAGTAGAAAATAAACTTTTCAATTTAAATTTAATAGTTCTGTAAACTAAAGATTGACAGGTATGTTTCTAAATAAACATTGGGCAGACCTGTCAATCTTTAGTTTACGGAACTATTAAATTTAAATTGAAAAGTTTATTTTCTACTTTTTAGTACAAAAAAATTATTTTTTTAGTAAATGTTTTTGCTATATATTATTTTCTACTTTTTTATTCTTATTTTCATTCATTGTCATTAGTTCTACTTTACTAGTTGTTTTTTTTACTAACTGTTTTTAGTATCATTCTAGACTTGCCTGGTTTGGATGGATTTCATAATGTCATTATATTAACTAATTCTTTTTATAATTTTTTATAACAAATTTTAATGATTTTTTATAACAAAATTTATAGTATTAACTTGTTTTGCTGATCAAAACCAAATATTTTTATCGTGATATTACCACAAGAAATTGTTCAAGATTATATATCAAGTTTTTTTTACTCCTAAGTAAAATTCTCATCCATTTTCCAAACCTAAGTAAGCTAAGTTTTATCATAAAGCTTTAAATCAAAAATTTAATAGCAAGACCAGAATAAGGCTAAAATGTAATAGCAAGACCAGAATAAATCTAAAAACTTTTTATTGAAAGAACACTCATCACACCAAATGAAATCAGTGAATATAAGTAGAAACTTTCAAAATGAAATTTAGATAAAAACTTGAAAAATTGAGAGTTTAAGTCTTTACAAATAAAAAAACTCTTAAAAACCCATCATTTATGATGCCAATTAATTTAATGTTTCAAATTTTTCTTATAATCAAATAATAAATTTTTTTTATTAGCAAACCATAGAAATATAAAATACAAAACTCTAAGATAATTCTTTTTAGTTTAAATATTAAAACTTTTTTATAAATAAAGCACACAATTAAATACCCATATCTTTCATTAGAAAATCCATTGCACAATTCACACCAGTTGCATAATGTGGAAGAATATCTCTTACAGCAGCAGCGCGATAAACACTGAAACACCCAGGCGAACATAAAACAGTTCCAAATACATGATCAGCAACCTTAATGATATTTTTAAAAATTTGTTTACTTTTTTTGGAAAAAAAAAAATCTAAAAAAAAGGGGAGCTAGCACTAACTTATTATGATCAGCTGTTTTCTAAAAGCTTTTATAGTATAAAAAGAAAAACAATAAAAGACTTGTATTTTATTAAACAATAAAAGACTTTTTCATATTAAGGTTTTTCTTTTTTTTTAAAAAAAATGAAATCTATTTATTTATCCTAGTATTTCTACCTAAAAAACTTAGCACTTATTTGTATGCTGAAAACATTCAACTTTTTTTTTTTTTAAATTAAAAAATACTTTAAAAATAAAAAAGTTTGAGACAAAAAGTAATAAGCAACAGAAAAAGTTAAAATAAAAAGGATTGTAAATGATTGAATTGCCTCAATAAAAAACTGAAAAAGGTGTGTAAAGTTGTGAGAAATTTTTCAAAAGAAAATTTTAAAAAGCTTTTAAAATTATTAAAACCTTTACTGGTAGGTTGGTACTGGTAGGTTAGTACTGGTAGTTTGGTACTGGTAGGTTGGTACTGGTAGGTTGGTACTGGTAGGTTGGTACTGGTAGGTAAGGTTGGTAAGACTTGATGCTTGAATAATGGTTACTTTTGAGTAAATAAGAAAAAAATAAATAAGAATAAGATAGTAATAAAATTTTTGTTATGTTTTGTTGTTTACATGATGTGGTTTGATTTAAAAAATTAAAAAGAAGAAAGATTACATAATTCAGCATAAATACCTAAGCAAGGCTTAGAATAAAATCATTCTAACTCTAATAATAAGAGATGAACCTTAAAATATTAAAAGAAAACTTCATTCAGATACCTCCAGTATGTAATGTATGGCAGAAAAACTAGGACTATGTTTACCATCTGTAGGCATTGTGTCTACTATTTGTAGGCACTGTGCCTACTATCATAGGCACTAAGAAGATACCAAAACAAATAAAAACCAAACAAAATTTTTATAATTATTACTAAAAAAAATTTAAAAGCTTCTTTTAATACTTTTAATAACCAATGACCAATTGCATAATCAAATATTTGGTACCAAACCAATGGTCCTGAACCTAAAGGATGAGTTCTTCCACAAACAGCACCAACTTTTGCATTTCTACTCATAAAATCCATAAGTGCCATTACATCATCAGGAGTAAACATTACATCAGCATCAGTTGCTAAGATGTATGTAAGATCATCAGACTTGTTTGCTAAGAGAAAAGGATTTGATGATTGAATGACAATATAATCAATTATATAAAATTAGCTTTACAACAATTTAAATTTTACATTGTTTGACTTTAAAATCAAGAATATATGACATGTACATAACTTGACTCCATCTTTTTTTTGATTTAACCTAAAAACCAAATTTGTGTTGTGAAAATGTTTTAAATCTATTAGAAGAATATTAATCTATTATACATGTATTAGTAATTTATAATATTTATCAATTTTATGTAACTTGATAATATTCAGAAACTTTTCCTTTTAAACAAATATTATACTTTGACTGTATCCTTCAAATGAATAATAAATGGCATCCCATTAGGTAAACGCCATTTCAATTGTAACCCATATGGTGTTTCTAATTTACAAGCTTTTCCAGGATCAATTCCCATTGTTTCCTTTAAAAGTGATAATAATTGCAAAGCATAAACTTTCACAACATCACCTAGTAAAATAAAAAATATCATTTTTATAATTTATTATTAAAAAAAAATTTAAAAATATTTATACACAAGTATCAATATAAAGATTCCTCCTTCACCACAATCTGTTTCTGAGCGCTCTGATTGATTTTCCCATTTAATATGAAACGCTTATATTCCCATTAAATTTTGCAAAAATTGTATATATATTTTACATGAGATGATAGTAGTGAATAATAATCCAAGAAGATGCAAAATAGAGAACCCCGAAATGTGTTGCAATTAATCAATACAGGATATTGCAATAATTATTATTTTCTTTTGTTTTGTTTAATCAGTCACTGCAATCCACCAAGCTGTCACTAAAGAGATACCACAATCACTAAAGAGATATCACTGTCACTGCAATTCCCAAGTCATTGCAATCTACCAAGCTGTCACTAAAGAGATATCACATTCAAGATCAGTTGCCAGTTCCATGCAATCAAAAAGTGATGACTTTTCAAGATTTTCAAGACTAGGGTAGAGTACTCTGTAGTAGGGTAGAGTACCATGAAATGGGTACCACAACCGCACTAGTATAAAACAATGGCTAAAACGATGTTTTTGATATGAGGGCTCCAGAAGCCATCATATGGAAAACATATGCTACAATATATTCAACAAACACAGTAAACAAAAAAAGCGATTATGTCGTGAAATGTTTCTTTGATGAAATTTACAGCGAACAGGAAAAATTCATTGCTTGGCCTAAACTCCAGACTGGAGCACACATGTTGGGTCCAATGTTTCATCTGTGCACCAAGAAACCAGGACATAAGACTTTGTCTCAAGAGGCTGCCAGTAAAGTTGAAGCAACCAAATTCATCAAAAATTGGATTGTTAAGAATGTTTATAATATTGCAAACAAATTTCAAACTGACTTTGATGAATCAGAGATTCATCAAATTTCGTAAACAAGAAAGAAATAGAAGTCATAACAAATCGGATAAATGTATGTAGAAGTAAATGAGCTTAACGACAGCATGACCAAACATGCATGCTAAAGACAAGTTGTACCAAAAGAAACTGGAGCAATAATTTGGGGTGACAATGACAGAAGAAGATGAACTATTCTATCGAAATAACTGTTTCAGGTCTTACACTTTTACGTGTCTTGGCATTGCAGACTACAAGGTGAACAGAAATGATCTCATTGAAATAATTGTGACTATAGTGAACGTAGTATTTAGACAGAACTGATCCACTGCCAGTGACCTAAAAGAGTCTAATAATAACTCGGAGTTGGACAATGACACCTCTGGTACTGATGTATTGAAGCAAAGGCGTACATGCAACAATTTGACTTACATATTTCCCAGTCCACAATGCATTAATGTGTATCTCCAAGTCGTAGCGTTTCTGAACTTGAGCATGGCTGTCAACCTCATACTTGATAAAGGTGATTCAGTCATCACAGTAGTTCTGAATGACACTATCAAAGCAGTGGGCCATCAGGACTTAATGTTTGGTTTTAATGTCAACAGGACACTAAAATCGATCATATAACTATAATCAACCCAAACAAACAAAGGAGAAGAGTCACTACTGGCTCCACAGAAAATGCTAGTCATTCTGGATCAGATGGAGCAGAGTTGTATTGTTTCAGACTTAAATGCTTAGCAGCTCTAGCTGACATTACGGTAGATGATATACTTGATTCCATAGACTTCTTCATGACTGATCGAGCTGGAGACAAAATGACATTACTAGAAAGCTTAGATGAAAGCAGTCAGAAAATTATCAAATGTTCCGCATATGTTATTTTACGTGTGGACCATGTTGCAGACAAAGTATTCAGAAATGCAGAACAAAAAATCAGTGTTCCAGGCTTTCACAGGAAAGCGTGCGATTTCATGTCTTTATATGACCAAGCAAAAAATTAATATGTCTTAACGATTTGACCACGGCTTTTAACATATTTTCAAAATTTAAAAATGCGCTACAAAAACTTATCTAAAAAAAAATTGTAAAAAGAAAAAAAATCTTATCGAAAAATAAAATGAAAAAAAGACCTAGTTAAAGCGAAAACAAAAAAATATATAATACATAATTATATATATTTAAAAAAACAACATTTTAATAATACTTTTTTTTTAAATTAATTAGAAGTGTTTTTTTACTTCATTAAAAAGCGTTTCGATAATATAAAAGCATTTAAGATAAACTTATTAGATTGTAACGGCTTTTTAAAACTTTTTTTTTAACAAAATTTTGTTTATCTTTTGAAATGCATTAACTTTAATTATTCTTATATTTAGATTGGTTAAAAAGATTTTCGCAGTCATAGAATGTCATTGTTTATAAAAACAAAACAATTTTTTATTTTTTAATAACGTTTATTTTAAAGATGAACACCTAAACAATTAATATGTTATAAATTAAAAAAATATATACAAATGTCAATTATATTTAAAAAAAAAATATTTTCAGTAAATTGTTACTTTATTTAAAATCGTTTCGCTAATATAAAAAAATTTGTTTAGAAGTTTTGATGTAACTCATTTCATTTTTTAAGAATACTTTTATTTAGCATGTTTTTTAAATGTTTGTTGAATTAGCCGCAGTCAAACCGTCATAGCAAAATGTTATTTGCGTGGTCATATAAAGACATGAAATTGCACGCCTTCCTGTGAAAGCCTGGTGTTCATAAGTTGCTGCATCTTTTAGCAGACAAAAAAACATCCAGTTCGCCTAGCACCAGCATTCACACTCTTGAGCAAATCACTATTTCTAAGCTTTTTTCGCCAAGCCATGCAGCAAGATCTGTCTCTCTTTAAACAAGTACAAACAATGGCTAAATGCTAAGAATGAGCTGGGCAGGTTCTGTATATTTATTTTAAATTGATTTGGAAGAATTGCGAATATTTCCAAATAGTTCATAAAACAGAGAGTTGATAATGCAGTTTTTAAGCGATGTGGTTGACATAAATTCTAATAAGTTTGTGCTGGCAGTATCTATGTACATTTAAAATGATTGATTTCAGTTGTGTGCTGAAATCAATATTGAACTCAGCGATATCTTGATATTCTCAACAATGGATCTTCTGGGGGTGGATAACCATAAATTCTCCACAGATGATGGGATCTTGGGATAGTGTCCAAAAATGTTTTGAAATCATAATTCCTGAACTCAGAAACCTGAAAGCTAAGAAAAGTCAATCAACTGCTAAAAAAGATCTTCTTATCAGTGCTTTTCTTGAAGAAGTATTAGAAATGCTCAATAGAGAGTTAATTAACAAAATTTGACAACCGAGTCAAAATATGTAGGGGCTTCACAACCATCACTATGTAATCCACAAAAAATTTAGTGATGACAAAATGGGCGAGGACATCAGATGAGGCCAAGCAGGCCAGAAAACTAGAAAAAGACTTTATAGCAACTGTTCAGACTGTCCAAATATTATCTATTGGGAAAAAGGAAGAAAAATTCAAAAAATTTTAAAGTGATGGAAAATTATAAAAAGCATAGAGGACCTGTGACAGTCTGATATTGAAATACTATACTCATTATCTGAAAGTCAGTTCTTCAGCAATATATGTTATTTTCATCTCACTGTAGCTCCTGATATCAGACAGAGAAGATGGATACAATTGGACAACAGACAAATCAAAGTGCAGAACTCTTGAAAGATTAAGAATTTCTTTAAAAAACGTTTTCAAGCCTGTGAATCATCTTGTCAACAAAATTGATTGATTACTGAATATATATATATATATATATATATATATATATATATATATATATATATATATATTATATATATATATATATATATATATATATATATTTATATATATATATATATATATATATATATATATATATATTTTTTATAAAAAATTTTTGAAATTTATATATTATTTTGCTTCATTTGAGTACCAGTTTTGAGACCTACTTTTAAAGAACTTTTTATTTTAAATATTAGGAGCCTGTTAAAAAGTAAAGTTAATGGAGATGTTAACTAAATATTGGAACAATCCTTTGAAATTTTAAGAATTTATTTTTTTCATCAATTAACAACGTTTAAACATCTAGCCACTTAATTTTTAAAAAAGAATTATATATATATATATATATATATATATATATATATATATATATATATATATATATATATATATATATATCTATACATATATATATTATATATACATACATATATATATATATATATATATATATATATATATATATATATATATATATATATATATATATATATATATATATATATATCATTATATTATTCATAACGCAATGATTTTTTATGTTTTACATACAAAAAATTTTTTTTTGCGTTTTACATACATACTGATGATTGGCAAATGTGTTTAGCAATTATACCTTTAGCGAAAAACTTTTTTATACTGGAATATTTAAATTATCTTTTAATATTATGTGATGTTTATTTGGACATTTGATGACATATATAAATTATAATATATATATAATTATAAATATATATAAAAAAAGCATACAACCACATTCATGAACTTTTTTGTTAAAGAAACAGATTATTTTATACAATTTTTTTTTTTAGTTAAAAGACTTTATATTAAATATGAAAATGATAATGAAATCTTTTTCAAATACCAAATTTAGATTTCATCTTTTTTTTTTTTTTTTTTACATTAGTTCAACTTTTGTTATATTAGTTTAATGATTTTTTTGGTTTAGATTTAAATTTAATTCCAAATAAATTTAAAATACACTAATGGTGCAATTTAACTTTTAACAATATAAAAATCAAAGCTGTATTAAAGTTACATTTATTAGCACAATCTGTTAATTATATAAACCTGATGTTGTTATTTATTTTATTTTATTAATTATATAAACCTGATAAATATTATTTTTATAAACTGTTATTTTTTACAAAATAAAACTTAAAAATATAAATGAAGACATTTCAAGAGCTATATTGCTTCAAGCATAATTTTAAGCAAAAAAAACTAATAAGAGTCATAACCATAAAACGAGTTTTTTTTTTTTAAATAATAACAAAATAAACTCTTCATAAGATGTTGGTTAAAGTTTTTAAATAATTAATGTTATTTCTTTTTTTTTTTGTTAATAAAATCAATCATTATAATAAAAAAAACAAACAAAGTTTAACATATCAAAAGAGGCGCTAATGTAAAATAAAATTTAAGCAAATAATTTTTTCTTTTATTTTTTATTTATATTTTTTAAATTTGGTTATTATATTTGTTATTGTTTATTGTTGGTTATGAGAAATTGACCAAGTAAATATTTTTGTACTTGCATGATGATAAATAAAAGTTTTTATATGTTTTTTTTTATTATTTCTTTTTTTAAGCACCGTAAAACATCATTTTTTTTTTTCTTTTGCTGAATATTTTTGATGGTATAGTTGAAATAATAAAAATAAATTTTTTTTTGTTTTTTCTTACCAAATTAAATTTGAAAATACGCGAATATCAAACATAATTTTTATGCAAGCATTTTTATGTAATTGTCATTTAAACTTCCTAAGTGGTTTTAACAACTTTACTTACTTACCACTTAAATAATATTTTTAGGCTTGTTTAAATATTAAAAAATGATAAAAAGTGGCTCGACTGAAACAGATTGCCACTTACATTAAATGGATTAGCGCGTAGGTAAATGGTGCACCAGTTTACACTTTAAAACAAAGCCTGATGTGTATATATATATATATATATATATATATATATATAATATATATATATATATATATATATATATATATATATATATATATATATATATATATATATACATATATATATATATATATATATATACTTGCATTTTTACATTGACATTAAACAAACGTTTTTTGTTGACTAAAATTTGAACTATTTTATAAATGATTAATTAAATAGAATCATTATATAAAAAAAGCTAAAATAGCAGAATCAAAACAAAAATATGATGAAATCATTTAAATGATGCATGACGATTCATCTACATACCTCGAACACCATCATCAAAAAAAATATGAGCTTCAAATTGCCTTTTACAATAACTGCTAGCTTGATCAATTCTAGAAAGCGACTGTAGCAGTTGTTCCATTTCATAGTCAGCCTCATGATACATTGTTGTACAAATAAAGATTTGGCTTTCCTTAACAATTTCGTGATAATTCAACTGATTCTCATCAGTTGCTTCATTTTTCCGATTGTATAAGACATGTTGTTCCAGCAAACAAGCTTTTTTAAAATAACAATAAAATAAATTATTTTGTAAGATAAAGGATATTAGAAGAATAATTAGAAGTTTATTAACTATTTACTAATAATTCAAATTTAATTAAAAGTATTATTATTTTAACTTATTTAATTATATTTTATTATTATGTATAATTATTATACTATTGCAAATAACATTAAAAATCATTGTTAAATGGTTAAGATATATATATATATATATATATATATATATATATATATATATATATATATATATATATATATATATATATACATACATATATATATATATATATATATATATATATATATATATATATATATCTTAACCATTCATCAAAAGATATATATATATATATAGATATATATATATATATATATATATATATATATATATATATATATATATATATATATATATATATATATATATACATACTATATATATATATATATATATATATATATATATATATATATATATATATATATATATATATATATATATATATATATATTGTATATTGAACATTATAAAAAAATGTTTTAATATTTTATTTAAACAATTACCATTATAGGTTGGCAACCAAAATAGTGACTGTTCTCTGGCCATCAAAAACTCTTGGGATTTAAACATTTGTATATTTATAGCAAAAACTTGTGAAAACCACAGTAAAGCCCAAATTACAACAGTACTAGGCAACTTATCTGTAGAATTCTTAAAATCATCAAAACCTTTAAAAATAAATGTGTTTCCAACGAGTACCAAGCAAATTGAAACAGGTGTTGAAATAAGCAGAGGAACAAAAAAACAAATTTTTTGCAAATTCATTGAACAAGCTAAATAGCATAAAAAAAAACCAACAAAACTTGTAACAACATTAGTAATAAACAAACTAAGAGAATGATCTGAACTGAAAAATATGCAGCCCTGCTTGAAACTATCTCCTGGGTTTTTAAAATCAGTAATACCAAAAAAGTAGTTTATAAAAAATGCAACTAATGGTGTTAGAACCAATTTTATAGCTGAAGAAACCAAAGTAACAAGATTTTTTCCACTTCTTTCAGATAAATCATCAGAAATGCTAATTGAATTACTGAGTATCAAATCTGCTTGATTATTATTTGCTGTATTTGGATTAATGCTATTGCCATATATTGTTTCTTGCTTTTTTGATTGCGTTTGCAGTTGAAATATCTTAGAAGACCATGCCAATGACAAAAATAAAACACATATTGGAAGTGAGATTTGTAGAATTATAAATTTTGACTGTAATTTTAAAAATTAAAACAAACAGTTATTATAAATAAACTAAAGAAATTCATAAATTAAGTAAAAAGTAATCTATCTAAATAATGGTGATAACTAATAACAATGGTTATACTAAAAACTTTTTTAATTTTTTATCATTCTTTTATATGTATAACTTATCATACTTACCAAATAAATGACGTATGCATAACCACCAACACCTGAGAAAATTGCAACAGTATATAGAATTATATTTGTCAAATTATAAGGTTTTTTTATAAAACCCTTAATCAATAGTCGAAATGCTTGAAGAATAAATATTCCGTTCATGA